CAAGGTATGTTGGAAGGAGAAAATCTCTGAGTCAAAATAATGGTGTGTGTCTAGTTTAGAAGGAATTAGTTTGTGAGAGGCACTTGAATAGTCTGAAAATATAAAAGGTTACGAGGCAATTGTTCTTCTCCACATTCGTGGAGTGTTGAACGAGAAATAATTGACTTGATTATTAGCAAGGTTGATTTAAAAAAAAAATTATTTTAGTGCAGATGTAAACTCTCTAACCATGGAGATGAGCTGCTGAGAGCATTGTGTAGCCTTGCAATTAGAGGTGTTAAATAACAGGCTGGAAAAACACCTGTTTAAAACTCATGCAAATATACCTGAACCTGTTTTCAGAGCCCAGGGATGGACTCTCTGACCTCTCCTGGTCCTTTCCAGCTTTGTTGCTGTGGTTTTTGCAAGTAGCCTCCTCTTTTGTAGTGGGGAAGTTAGAATGGAGACTGTTTTATTTGTTCACGTAATCTTTAATCCCTGGATTTATGGAAAGCAAATACAACCCTGGCAGGAGCTTTTCAGTTGTTCTCAATATCTCTTAATAGGTGACACCTGCGGGGGGAAGGAGAGGCCCCCTCAGTTCCGGGCGCCATTTTGTTGGGCCCAGGCCTTGAAAATACAAATGTGAGAGCCCGAGGTGTGTAATCCAAGAAATTGCTGGCACAGCCTGGCTTTTTCCTCCTGGTGGAGATAATGTTTGGCTGTTCCCCTCGTAATGAAAATCTGCATCCGTCCATTTATAGTTTAATGTCCTGCTCACAGGCCTCAGAAGCCTGAGGGGACGCTGATTTTAACTTGTCGCATACTGTCCCTTACTGTTTTACAGAGGTGTGGTGAGCTACCATAAAGCAAAAAAAATTATTAAAATTGAGAAAATCAGCCTTGTGCTTGTTTTAGGTTGAAGGGATTTGTTGGTTTGGTTTTTTTGTTTGTTTGTTTTTGATGTGTTATCTTTTCCCCACAAAACTCTTTGTGCCCATAACATCAGTTCTGGAAGCTTTGCTCACTGCTTAAATGGTGGTACAGAATATTCCTTAAAAAATGCGGTAGTGAATGTACTGAAGTTGGTCTAGTCTGCTTCTAAAATCCCTTTGTGAAGACTATTTATGCCTCTTTTTTTTTATTATTTTTTTATTATTATTATTTTTTTATTTTTTATTTTTCTACCTGTAAAAACAGTGTTTAAGCTTCAGGCCAAATGAATCGAGAACTTGTGTATCATATCTTGATAATTTTTACTTTTAAATCAACTCAATTTTAAGATTCAGCAAGTAATTAGTTAAAGCATTGGGGAAGAGGAGATTGGCTGGTTTTACAAACTTGTATATGTGTCTAAATATTAGAAATATTATAATAAAAAAGAAGATTCTTGCAGAGTTTATCCACTCCACAAACTTTTCCTTTATTGCTTTTCTTCAACTCCAGTGATATATCAAGAATGATTGATTAATTGTGCTTGATATAGGAAAAACAGACTTAAAGACTTCTTGTGTTTTCAAGCTTGATTAGTTTTTTATTCTATGACTGAAATCTTGCTCTAAATGCAGAATGTCATTAGTTACAGGAGGAACCCCCCCAAATGTTTTGATTTATAAACATGAAACAAAACACTTTTATTCAAATTGATGAACTTTGTTTTCTCATTGGAAAACTCGTCTGAGGCTTTTCTGTTTCTGCAAAAATAAATTGTAAGGTACAACTTTTATAACAAAATATCACTTATGCTGGGAAAAGTTTCCCCCCAAGTCATCTGACCATTACTAATGAAAAATAAAAAACCTCACAGTCTTGTTTGCTCTTGTTGTAGAGAAATTCTGCCATTTTTTGACCTCACTCCCATCTTTCAGCCAAAACACTTGGCAAAAGGCACCCAGTGCATTTGGAACTGCATTGTGGAGTGGGATCAACATCTCCATAGGCAGTTCTCCACCAGTACAACATGAACATGATTTTAAATAGCCTGTTTTATCACTGCTTTTATTTGCAGCCCAACTGTGGCGTAATTAAAGGTGATCTGTGTAATTTAGGCTACCAATTTTACCTCATCCTTGGCTCTTCTTGCCTGTCTTGTGCTGTGCATGCTGGAAAGCTCCTGTGAGAGAGGTTGGTCAGTCCTCAAGGAAAGAAGAAATCCAAGTAGTTCACTGTCAAACAGTTAATTTAATGTGAGATCCAACACAGTTGCTTCATCTGTGTGGTTTTTCTCCCCTGTACTCCCAGCCATCCTTCTCCCAAGCTTTTCCAGTCCTCAGGGCCTGGCTGCAGGTGTTCTCTGCCCTCTGTTCAGATCAGGTGGGATCAATGAGCTCCGTAGCATTTCTCCCCATTTTAATATTGCCGTTTTTCCCCCCAAACCTGGATCAGCAGATCTTTGGTACAGCAAATAATTCCCCCTTCCCAGTTGTTTATCCCTTAGCCTGGTGCATGTTTGGCTGTGATAGGGAGCACTGTTACATCTGTACATGTTAATGTGCCCGTGCTGAGCTGTGCCCCTGGGTGGCCTTGTCATACACAATCAGTGTCAGCCTTCCTTGTGCTTAGTGTTTGGGTTTAAATAATCTTATTTTACTTCTTGGAGACGTTTCTTTTCAGCAGACCATGGAATGTCAAGTGGACATTATCATTAGTTCGGCCCCAGTCCTGGGGCAAATTAAATGTTTGACTGTTTATTGAAAAATCCTCTTCCTTTAGGTGAGGAGATAAATTAGATTTTTTTTTATTTTTTTTTTTTACTATCAGTGGTTTCTTGCACATTGCAGTTCTAGTGACTGAAAAAATAAAGCACTTTATTAGTTCATGTTTACAATATATGAATTTAGTTTGGATATAAAGTACCCAGAATTCTTTGCTTTGGAGGCAATTGAAAATCTCGGGGAATTTCTCATCGTCCCACAGTTCAGGGAGGAGGGATATAAAAGGGAACAGTTACTCTCATAATATTTGGTTCTATCTGTGCCTTTTCTGTGTTGAAGGATGAAAAAGGTAAATGAAATTTAAGGCATTATTTATGAAATGCAGCACTTCCATGAACCAGGAGTTGTGAATTTGGCTTAAGCAATAGGTGAGGGTTCAGCTTATTCTCATTTTATTGACACCGATTTACACATCTTGATCTATTTTCTAGAGCAGAAATGTTCTAGATGTAATTTCTTCTGTAATTTGTAGATTTTGGAGTTGCTCACAGCAGTCATTGTCTCTAGATTTGAGTAGGAGAGTCTTGTTTTATTTGTAGAGCAAAATAATTTAAATGAAAAAATGAGGTTTTGTTATTTTAAAATTTCTTGCTTTTTTCTTACTTGAGTTTGTCATAGTCTCGGGAATGTTCTATAGGCAGTTGTTTGTCCTAGAAACCATCATGGTTATGAAATGTATGGAATTAAAAAAAAAAAGGAAATCAAGGTTGTGCTGAAATGAATGTAGTTAAAATTCAGAAAGAGATTCCTTAATTAACTTAATAAAATTACTAATGGAAGCATTTTAACTGCTAAATTTAATTTACTTGTCAAGATATCAGGCTACAAAGAGGAGGGAAGAGTGGAAACTCTGCTTTCCATTATGATGTGCTCTATTATAGAATAAATTTGCTTAAAATGAAATATATCACCAAAAGCCATCAATGACATCTTAATTTGGAACAGCCAGTTGAAAAGTAATTAGACTGTGAAGCAATCAGTTCTAGTAAATCAGTGTTTCCCTTTACATAAACATACGTTTTTGCTATTTATAAATAGGAGAGACTTCCAGAGGCTCAAGTAGCAAAGACTTTGATTGTGTTTCTACTGTCTGTGTGTTCTATTTTACGTTACCAAACTGTCAAAACACAAAGAATCGGGATTTGCTTTGGAATTGATCCAGCAAAACGCTTAAGCTGAGGTTTGGTTTTCACTGTTCCCTTTAAGGATGTGGCCCTGTGGGGCCTCCTCCTCTTTCCATGGATGGAGGTTCATCTGTAGTGGCTGAAACTGAGGTGGGAACATGGGAAAGGGATCTTGGATCTGGTGGGTGTGGATGCTTGGAGCATCCGTCACATCTCTTGGATTCCTGGAACAGCTCCATAATGACCGATGGTTGTAGAGCAGATTCCTTTCAAAATGAGCCTAAACCCACTTCTGTGAAAGTAAAAAATTAGGAGGAAAAAAAAAAAGACCAACTTTCACCTTAAAGTGTTGTGAACACCTTCTTGCATTTGCAGTTTTAAGGCCATATATTTGGATTACCATGGCCATAGTGACTCCCATATCCCAGTGACTGGGTGTTTTGCTGTGGAAAGGCAGGTTGTACCTGGAGTTTAAGGTTTGTGTTGGAGGATCTGATAAATGCCAGGAACTTCACTCCCCAAAGGATCCTTGGGAATGTAAGCGTGGAGCTCTACCTATTATTTTACTTTCTGAAGCCTGATGTTTGTGACGAGGGGGGAAGGTGGAATTCTGCTGCTTCCTCAGAATCAGAGAAACCTCAGAGATGAAGTGGGAAACTTAAATGCTGTGATTTTTACCAAGAAATTATTAATTTTTAAACTAGATGCTTGATACAACAGATGCATTAAGTGAATTGAACAAAGGGAGTTACTTACATGACACAGGAGTCGTGGCACAGATCAGAACCTCATGGGTTTGAACCATTTTGGTATTATGGTGTTTTTCATGAGCTGCACAGACGTGCTGCAGCTGTGGCCAAGGTGCCAACCAGAGCTCCACACTGAGGCAGCAGAACAGCTGCTTCCACTTGGATTAGTGGTTGGGAACAGGGGCCTGTAAATGTTAGAAGTACTTATTGCAGCCAAAGCCATGGGGGGCAGTGCCAAGTGAATTAGATCAGCATTAAATGATATTAGTGAGTGTGCTGAGGAGGAATACCCAGAGAACTCAGGCAGCACAGGCAGCTCGCTGAAAAGTGACACCTGTAGTGAAAACTTAATTCATCAAAGTCCTTTTAGCCGTGAGTTTCTCTCTTTCTGCCAGGCAGTACATGAATTGAAAGTTTTTTTTTGTTTTTCACAGGTTAAGTGCAGTTTGCCTGAGAAATCATAACTGCCACACCTGGGTGCAACAAAGTGTGGAAGCTCTTGAAGCCCCAACTCGTTATTGAGAGAATACAATTGTAAAGGTAAGTGTTACAGTTGGAACAAAACTGCTTTCAGTAAATATCCTGTTTATAAGGCAGCGTTTTTGCAAGCAGCAAGTTTATTATTAATTCTAATTTCATCTGCTTGTTTTTAAGTGAATATGTTTCTGCTGTTAACTTCAGGAATTTAGGATGTTCTTAGCTGAAGACATTAGAAAGTCGAAATGCAGCATGTTCTGTGAATTGTGGGCTTTCTTTTGGGAACTTTTGTCATTGCATGTACTTTGGCTTTTATGTCACTGGGAAAGAACTCTGATGTGAATCACTGTACATCTGATAGAGGTGGTAGTGCACAATTCTTTTGCCTTTATTTTGGTCACACAACCCTTAGTTTTGGTATCACAGGTCACCAAAATCAAGTTGTTCCTTTAGTTCCAGAAAAGATTGCTCAGCTGGTTTCATGAAGCAGCTGAGATGCACAGTGGCATCTGCAGCAAATTTCACACTTTTGGGGCAAAAGTGAGGAGTTGATCCAAGATCAACTTGGAAAGGATGTGTAGGCAGGCACCTAATTATTGTCTGCCAAAGGGCTGTGTTCTTTAGGGTCTTTATCACGTGAAAAAGCTCCATCTCTAAAGGTAAATCAGTGGCTGTTCAATACAGAATCTGCTGTTTCTGGATTGTGCTTTCTTTGGAAGTTCTCACCTCCTTTTTTTACTTAATAAACTTGCAGTGTGTGATGTTCTTTGTCTTCCTGATGCTGTTAGGAGGGCCAAAGGCAGTTGAAAGCATTGTTGTTACCACGACTGACTGTTGTCTTGCTTCTCTTCCCCTACTGCCTTTCATTCTCACACAAAGTAATAAGCAGAGAAGAAAAACAAACAGAAGAAAACCAAGTTACATTTTGATGTGAGCACAGTGTGCCTCGTGACCATGACTTGTGTATCAGAGAGCTTCAGTTTCCTGTTGACTTGGTAGCATGATATTTAACATTCTCTTTTATAAGTTTGTTGTTTACAGCAGTTTTGTGTTTCTGCTTAGCCTAATGATTACAAGAGAGTCCACCCGGGAGAGTTCAGCCTCCAGCCTTTGAAGGCCTCATTTGAACATGTTTGCAACTGTAAGGAATGGCTTGAGGCTGTGCTATTTAACACAAAAGAGAAGAGGAAAAACCCAACAATAACAAAAAAACCTCTCTTCTTGTTTTTGTTTGTCCATATTCTGGATTCTTAATGGCTTTCAAAATATAGGTCAAAGATATGTGCATATGTAGTAAATAAAGGCTGGGGCTGCTGCACTTGTTACTAGAGGGGCTGAGGCCCTTTCTCTGAAGGCACTGTGTGTTTAACACATCCTTCAGCCCTTCCTGCCACTGCTGTTCTTGCTCCTGCTTCTTCTTTGGTATTTTGGCTTGTACACACCAACTCTTCTTCCATTCCAGCCTTTTATTACCCCCTTCTGAAGGGGAGGGAGGATGTGCAGCAGCAGCTTTTCACCCACCTCAGGTGGTTTCCCTCAGGAATTTGCATTCCATGATGTGCTTTGTGTTTCTGGATTCTTCCTTCCCATTGAATAGTTGATTACTTGGAAGGAAAATTCCATGTATTGGCAGGAGATATGAATTCAGCTCATGGGGTACCTGTGTCCCACTGTTGTCAGCCCTGTGTGCTGGGTGTCTAATGACACTTCATATTTACAAGGGCTATTTTCACAAGCTTGAAGTTAATCCCTGTGATTTATATGCTGGTATCTATTTAGTTACACTTTAGTCTGTGCTCTGCAGTATCACTGAGGGTTTAACAGAGAAGATTCTAATTGGGGCTCTCTGTAGTTTGCATATGGTGGTGCCTTGCTGAGGCACTGATTTGAGAAGTCAAAAATGAGAAAAACACAAGTCTTTTGTTTTTAACACACAGCAGTTCAGAAATGTTATCATTTAGTGTTGATTTTGTCATTGTTGTCATTATTTCCTTCCCACCCACCCCTCATTCCTTATTATCTTTAGCATAGGAACACACAGGTTATAGACTTAATTAATTTGGATATAATGGAAGAACAGGCCAAGGGGAAGCAGCTGCAGGGCAACTTTTAAATGTAAATTATAGCATGGTACATGAACTTCATGGTATAAATCTCATAGCTCTTAATAGGTTTGGGACACTAAAATATTGTGCAGGACAGTCTGTGTTGGGCAGCCTCATTTCCCATTGATCTGGATGTAAATATCTTCCTGATTGGAGTTGGTTCCCCAGAACCTCAGGTTAATGAGGAGAAAATTGCCAGAGAACCACAGTCCTTGGTGCTGCAGTTTCAGATTTTCAGGGTGAGCTGAGTTGGTGGGGTACAGAGTCCAAACTGGATGTGCATCTGTCCAAGGGTTAAAACTGATGGGTTTTTCTAGAAATCCTTGCCTTTTGAAAGGGGAATAAACCTTCAGGGTCTCTCTCCTCGTGTACTGAATCATGTCCTTACCTTTTGGACATAATTTAAGCCTTTTTTATTCCCCCCCCCCACTGGTTTGAATACTTAAAATAGTTTTTAATTTATCCACAAAAGGAGTTATATAAATAGACTTTCGAAATATAATCCACGTTGAAATTTTATAGCTAAATATAGTTATTATCTCATGTGGTGCACTTTGCAGCACGTTCCTAACTAGTTTTATTACATCATTGGCTGCTGACCTTACCTCTGCTGTCTGGGAAGGGGAAAACGAAATTAAAAAGGGAGATGAGGTTCCACAGGAAGGGAAGCTGGGGAAAAATACACTTATTAAAGTGCACCTATGCAGCATCTCTGTTCTGGGCAGCTCCCAGTGTGGTGGGTTCCACTGACAACCAGTTGGAGCAGCTACTTGGGGTTCGAGTCAGAGTGAGTGTGGCAGAGAACAGACCCTAAAAAAGAAATCTTCAAGGCAGGCAGATGTTGTCAACCACTTTTTTTTTTTTTTGAAACACTTGTTGTTCTTAAGAAAATGAAAAGGATTTGATGCTTTTTCCACTTTGCTCCTTGTCCTTAATGTATTAAGTAGCTCTTAGAGCAGCCGCCTTCATGTGTCTGTGGTACCCAGGACAGCGCTGATGATAATGGCAATAATACTTATCACTTAAATGACATTTTACAAATTCAAAGTGTTGTGCAACAAACATTAATTAGCTCTCACAAGAGCCTTGCTGTGAAGTAGGTAAGTGCTGTTATTCTCCAGTGACACGCGGGGAATCGAAAGCGAAGAGGTAAATCCTTCAGGGACTCACTAGGCTTGGGCAGGGATTGAAGCTGGGAAGTTTGTGCTTCCCAGCTTGTTTCATAGAATGCACTGGTTGTATCATAGCTCCTAGATTCATAGAAAAGTAATTTAGCACACCAGTTCTACTATGGTTGCACCTTCCAGTGGAGATGACAGGGCTGTGCCAGTGATTCACAGAGAAACTGCTGGTGTGCCCCAGTCACAAACCCAAATGTTACTGTCAGAGCGTTCTTTGGTACTTCTCCTTGAAGGTACCCAGAGGTGTGGTGGGCAGAAGAATGCAGAGAGAAAGCTGAGGTGTCAGTGTGATGAAATTATCCACACACAGGTCAAAATGGACTATTTTATTGTGCAGAGATATTACACCAGAACTTCAGAGCAACATATCAGCAGTGGCTGCTGATAGCATGGGAAAGAGGAGTGATGCCATAAATCACAGCATGGCTTGGGTTGGAAGGGATCACCCAGTTCCACACCCCTGCCATGGGCAGGGACACCTTCCACTAGCCCAGGGAGCTCCGAGCCCTGTCCAGCCTGGCCTTGGACACTTCCAGGGATGGGGCAGCCACAGCTTCTCTGGGCATCCTGTGCCAAAGCCTTACTGGGTGGTCTTTCAGGTCCCTTCCAACCCAAGCCATTCTGTGATGTATCCCAGATGATTTTTTCCAGGACACTGGCCATATCTGCATTAAAATGTCACGGATCAGAGCAGTGGAGCCAAACTGACTGACACTGCCTTGAACGTCCCTCTGGCTTTCCCAGGATCTGTGCAATTGCTCCTCAGTTTTTGTGCTATGGGTATTGGCAGCTACTTTTGACTGAAAGCTGAAAATAGCAGATACTCACAGGTGTTTTAAAGTTTGATACCTTGGAAATATATAGTAAATTAATTATCTTTGAATTCCATACTTTTTTTTTTTTTCACTTTCCATCCGTTCTCAGTTAACTGTTTCTGCAAAGGCAGAAGAGGAAACTCAGAGCTGTAGACATCTTCCTTGGATAGAATGGTTATTTGAAATAATTTTAGGGACAAGGTGTGTGTCTGTATACATGTTGGAACAGTAGGAGGTTTCCCACTGGACTAAGAGAATTTTAAGGCAAAGTGCATTTTATGCATAAACATAATCTCCTTTTCACTGCGTTCCATGGCATAACAGCTTTAGGACACTGCCCACCATGGGCTCAGTTGTAGAGATATTTGTCTCTATTTTTATGATGAGCCAAAGGATCATCAGGAAACATGATTAAAATTCCAAAAGCTCTGAAGAAGATTCACTTCTGTGTGTATGTGTGAAGTCAATAACTGCAACAAACCACATTGTCTTGTAATTGTGGAACTCAGTGTTGTAACTACAAAGGTGCCTGTGCAGCCCACTTGATTAAGAAGAGGGGAAAAACCTCAAACCAAGCAAAATACCTTCAAAAAACTAGGCAGAATCTGTGTTCTGAATATACTTCAGTGAGTCTAAATACTGCAACACACATGACAAATAAAAATCATGTAGTGTTTGGAGACCTCTACAACCTCAAATCATTACTCACAATTTATTTGCTTTTCTTCCTGTAAATCAAAATTTTATTGTTTGAATATATTTATGGCATTCAATTTCCTCTTCTTTTTTTCTTAGTGAGGCTGTAGGAAAAAAGGGAACAATTTCAGTGCTTTGCCTTCACCTTTCTCTTTATTTTAGTGTGTGCTGTAGCACATGGAAATGTGTGCAGGTGTATAAAGAAAACATTTTCATGTAGTTCTTAATATTTCATCCATCCAACTTTTGCCCGTTCCTTTTTCAGT